AGCAGTCAGCGGCTAATGATGCGAAGGCTCAAACATAGCAGATGATCTAAGGTTACGTAGCATATAAGCCTCTTCTTCCAAGGTCCTGTCTACATCAGGGGGTTTTTGGAAGTCTCTCACCATTTCTGAGCCAGTGGTGGCCTAACAGTACGAAACAGGACTCAAGTTTACTGCAGGGAAATAACTTGGACTTGTTGTTAATAGAGAATTTGTGTGCTGAAAAGCCCTAACTCCTGCTGGTTTCGGTGGAAGTGAAAGGCGCTGGGCCCCCTTCAGCAGAATTTGGCATTTCTGCAAGGAAGGAAGCTGGTTTTCAGCTTGTAGTACCCAGTCCCAGAGAGGCACCCTGTGGTTTTGTGAACGGATTGCTCCCTTGCTTGAGGAGGGGGAGAGAGAGAGATCAGGAGACATTTGAGTGCTTTGGCTGTAAAAGCATTGTTGATTCCGAATGTTTTACTCTAGATTCTATTTTAATGACATTTCCTTGATCAGGATAAAGCTTCCCATAATTGGATGAGTTTTAACAGTCTCCCTAATCTAGGATCTGAGGTGTGAATCCTAAATGAAGTGGTAATGTTTTATCTTCCAAAGGGGTAAGATAGGGGGAAGGATGCAAATTGTGTTATTTAGTTTTAAGATAGGAAGAATTTTATAAACTGTTATCCTGCCTTCTTAGGGTATAGGGAAGAAAAAGCCTTCCCAGGTGCGGGTAGCTGTGGTATTTACAGCAAAAGGCACCTGAATCTGGGCTTGCTCTTCCGCCCGCCAAGGTCCACGCAGACCAGCAGGGTTTCCACCCGGAGTTCGAACAAAGAGTAACCCTCTTGCCCACGTACGTCCTGAGCAGTGACGTGTCTGTGATTTTAGATACCTGCAGTACGAGGGTATCTGCTGTTTTTAGTTGGAGTTGCTTTACTGGTTTTTAAAGATGAGAGACTTGAACTTTCAGTGAAACCCAGTGCTGGAGGTCTGTCTGGTGAGATTCCCAAACCTTGCCAGACTACACTGAAAATTAAAAACCCCAAGTCTCTATTTGTCCACAGAGGTTCTCTGGTAGAAAGAGCGCAAACTTGCCTGGTTTTCAGATTTACCTTTCAGTGTGAATGTTGGTTTCCCCACTCCAGTATCTCAGCTTTTCCCCGTTTCTTTCCTCTCTGTCCTGCACATCATTTTACTGACATTAACTCGTGCTGTTTCATTCTTTGGCTTTTGCTCCCTTTAACAATAAATGCATGTATGAATAATTTTGACAGTTCCTTTACTTTTGCTGAATCAGTTCTTGGACTGCTTTGAAGTCCTATGCCAAAGGAGGAATGAAACACAAATTAGCTGCTGGCCCGACTGGGACACAGCATAGCTACTGAGCGCACGAGGCGGCCTTGCTGCTCAGGCAGGCTCCGGCGTACCTCCGCTCCATCCCTCCACCTTTGGACGGATCTGTCTGGCTCCGAGCGATGCATCGGCTTCTCAGCGACCTTGCTCGTTAGTAATTGCCGGGATCCTTATTCTGCGTCTCTGAGAAGTCCTTCATGGTAAGTTCCTCCAAAATATTTAGTGAACTCAGTGTATTCCGCATCACTCGTAGTGTCATTACAGGTTTAATAGCATGCATTCACGTTCTGCAACACCCTTCAGCCTCCGCCACTTGAGAGTTTTTAGCCCTCTCTCTCCTCCTCTCTCTGGCGTGCTTCACTGACTTCCCCATGCAAATTATGTCACATTTAAACTATTTGCCTTCCAGCCCTGAGGTGCTGGACTTGAGCCTCTCACTGGGCTTTTACACCAGCAGCTCTGTTTCAGCAGGGAATATAGCCAAGCTCGGACCTCGCCGAAATAGAATTTTTTTTAATAACTGCTGTAAAACCCCCCTTTGTATTACAAATATAGCTGACAGTATAAATGCTCGTGTGTAAAGCAAATCCACCAGGGTTGGCTCGAATATGGAACACAGCTGTATAGTGCTTTATGATTTTCAGGGATTCAGGGAATTTAAGGTTGTCGAATCTGACTTCCTGTATACCACAGGGAATTACATTTCATTCAGAAGCCCCACACTCAGCCTGCTAGTTTCAGTTTAACTGACGTGTCTTACAGAAAGTCAAGCTGAAGACGTCAGAAGTCTGCTGTCTTCCTCAGTTATACATTTAGTGGTTTGTCACCTTTGCTGTTTTAAAAAAAAAAAAAAAAAACAAGAAGCAAAAAAAAAAAAAAGTCCGACCATCATCTAGGCTGTGATTCTTTATTTTCATGACATCTTGTACAGGCTGAGCAGTGTTTATCGCATTTAAATCATATTTGTTTTTTTAACTGGGTTTGACTGTGGATAGAGCCAAAGCCTGGCTCTGTTTCTGCTGCAACAGGGGGAAAATTTCTAAATGATGTATTCTGATTACTCTTCTTTGGGACCATGGTGCCTTTTTAATCAGGACAGTAAATCTTGTCCCAGGATTCTGTACTTTTGTACGTTAACAGTTGTTGACTTTCCTGTTTTGGTGTGTCCCAAATAAATTAATATAACATACCTCTGGACTTTTGTTTCTTCTTTCTAAAGGGGGAGGAAAGAGGAAACTGAAGCTAAAATAAATCTTCTCTGCTTCAGCTCGCTCTCCCTCCCGGGCTCTTGCAGGAGCAGCCGTGAAGCGCCATCCGCTCAAACGCTTTTGAGGGATGCCGAGTTGGTGATTTAACTGGGCGTTTGTAGAGAAACCTCTTCAGCCGTCGCAGTCGGATTGAGCTCGCCTGCCTTGAACCTTTTGCTCTGATTTCTGCAAGGGGAGCAATAGAAAAGTGAGGGCATCCCAAAACCCCAGCGTGGCCAGGCTCCTCCGCGCCCTGGCCTTGCGCCCTTGCAGGGCCCGTGCCAGCCCCAGGGAGGGTTTTACACCCCTCTGCAAGCGAAGGCTGACTTTTCACAGCCCTTACAAGTCCTTTACAGCTGCCAAGGTCTGCTCTAAGCGAGGTCATACGCAAATGCCTATCTGATCTCCCAGGACGTTTGTGCCTCTTCGCGTGGCACCTGGCAGCTGCTGCTCTGCCCCTTGCACGGCGTCTCAGAAAAGGGAAGGAACACAGAAAAACCAACCCGAAATGCAAATTATTGCACTACTGAGTGGGCTGGATGTGGAAAACAATCTGCCTGTGATTCAGAGCACAGAAACAGTCACAAAGTTGGAATTCAAAACAAGTCTGAGCCCAGCGCTGTGGGCGCACGGCTGGCGGCTGCGTTGGGCAGCACCTGCCCGCCAAGGAGCTCCCGTGGGCGGGCGCGGGGAGGGGACAGCCGCCGGCTGCCGCTGCAGCAAGGGCTGCAGCCTTGTCCCACAGGTGCCGACAGCTTAACGCAGGGTGACGGTGACAAATTGGCTCTGCAGGTGGGACACTGAGGAAAACAGTTTTCCTGGGAAGGGTAGGGCAGACCCGTGAAACTATGTCATGAGCGTGCTTGGGCTGAGCGCCTGTGGCTGGGCTGCGGGGGATCTCCAGGAGGGGAGATGAACCTCCCATTTTGCCTGACACCCATGGTTTGTCCCCTGGGCGGGTGCATCGGGCAGGCAGTGGTGAAGCCACGGCAGTGCCGGACACCAAAAGCCCGGCATGGGGCACAGCAACCCGGCACAGTGCCTGCCAAACCCCCATCCCACGGCTCCTGGTGCTGCCACAGGAAGAGTCACCCCAAATCCTGAAAGGAGCTTCAGGGAGAGCGTTTCTGTGGGTAAACACATTAATTTATTAACCAGAAATGTATGAGGGTATTTCCTGCTCTCCCGGAGTGTGTCATCTTGTTATTCTTCCCCAGTCTCTGGACAGCAGCCGCCTCCTCCTAGCACTGCTTCAGAGCCAGCGGATCCCGCTCCAGTCTTTTAGGATTTACTGGTAACCATCCCTACCCATATCCCCTTGCTCTGTGCAATGGAGCATCCCCTCTTGCACCCCTTTCCCATCCCACTCAGGTTGGATTTTGCTGTATGGCGGGCATTGGGTGCTGCCCTGCGGCATGGGGATGGCTGTGCATGGCCACAGCACCCCTGGCTGAGCCTTCCGGGCAGCAGGGACATGTCTCCGGAGGGAGAGAGGCTGGAAATTCATCCTGGGAAGATCCCAAATGTTTGGGAAGAGGGACGGGAGCTTTGGAGCTTTCTCTTTCCTGGACGCCTGGTACGGAGCAGCAGACCCCCAGACTTTTATATGCCAGATGCTCCCAAGGAGCCAGTTTCCCTTGGCTCCAAGTTTTTTACAGCTGCGTATTTCCAGTGAAATGACTTTATTGCCCCATTTCCCAGAGTGGGCGATGACAGAGCTGCAGGCAGCGCCCGCCCAGGTAATCCCCAGGCTTGCTGGTGGGGCTGCCGTCGCTCTGGCAGGCTGGAGGGCAGCAGCACCATGCTTCAAGCAGGCTGTTTGCTTGTTCAGCATCCATAATCGTACCCAAATGCACATTTGTAGAGTTTCTTTGCTGTCAGTGCTTTCCTGCTGGCCCACAGAAGGTGGTTTGCAGGCAGCCAGGGCAAATATTCCCATTTTCCCCTGGATGTTACTTCCCACATGCTCCCACAGCCAAGTTTCTGGATGAGAGAAGCAGGTGCTGCGGAAAGTCCAGAAATTTTGGGGTGACGCCTGGCTGACCATGGGGATGAGAGAGGCGAGGGCCCTGTGCCAGCACCCCGGCTGACCCCCGCTCCCTGGCCACCCCAGGGTGGTCACTGTGGGGCTGGGTGTCCCTCACCTGCAGCAGCGGCTAACATCACGCCGGCTGTTGATGCCCTGCTCTGGGAAGCAGCCTGACCCCCACCTAGGGCTGGGGATGCGGTAGTGCTGCGGGGGCAAGCCCACCCATGCCGCAGGGACAGCCGGCAGTGGGAGGGGTGCTCTCAAGTTACGTGGCCTCCTACAGAAATGAGTGGGGCCGCAGGATCCTGACGAGGTTCCCACTGTTGGTGGCCGGGGCTTATTAAAGGGGAGCATCAGGGCAGGCTGCTCGGTCCCGTTGGTGTCCCCACAGCATGGCAGGACCGGGGGGCGAGGGGGACCTGCGGCACCTGCTGAAGCTGCACCGCACTGAGATCGCCATGGCTGTGGACGACGTCTTCCCGCTGCTGCACGGCCTTGCTGACCACGACATTGTCCCCGAGCACGTCTTCAAGGTGAGGCCGTGGGGCAGGAGAGGATGTCCGTGCCGCAGGGACTGGGGCCAGCTGGCGGCACCGGGGCATCTGCCAACGGGCCACGGTGGCACCGACAGGAGACGCTGAGCCGGACGGAGCGGGAGGGCTCCCACCGCGCTTTCCATGCGCTACTCACCTGGCTGCTGGGCCGTGACGCTGCTGCCGTCCGCGACTTCTGGGCCGTCCTCTTCAAGGACTACAACCTGGAGCGGTACACACGGCTCCGGCCCCTCCGCGGCGCCTTCCCCAGAGGTAGGAGGGGGATAGACGGCAGGGACTGGCACCCCCGGGGGCTGCCGGCGGGCAGGGGTCACGCCTGGGGCCGGCTGTGCCTGTCCCTGTCCCCTTTGCAGAGGTGGAGCTGGGGCGGCAGCGCCGCAGCAGGCGCCTCTCCCCCAGCCCCACGGCACCAGCCCCGCACAGACCCCAAGGCAAGAGGAAAGCCCCTGAGGAGCGGGACGGGGCCCGAGCAGCGCAACCCGCCCCACGGCATGCTGCCAGCCCCGGTAGGGAGATCCGGAGGGGGATGGAGATGGGGAGGGCTGGGGGGCACGGTCCCTGAGGTGCAGCGGGGTGCTGTGCCCCCGATGCCCACCCTTGCAACCCTGCAGGGCCCCTGGTGAAGGTGAGGACCACGAAGAAGCTGGAGGGCGCAGATGCCCCCCGCACCCCTCGTGCTGGTGGTGAGTGCTGAACCCCCCTGGGGCGGTGTCTGCCTGTGCACCATATTTGCTTGCAGTCGAGGGCACTGGGGGGGCTGCCCACCCTGCTAAGCCACCCCCCTGCCTGTAGCCCTCCAGGCAGTGGCTGCCTCAGTGCAGAGATCAGTGGCCGTGGCAGGCAGCGAGGTGCCCGTCACCCATGGGGCCGTCGAGGGCCTCCTCATCAAACACGTGCTGGAGCCGGGTAGGTGCAGCCCAGCCAACCTCCTGCCCAGTTTAGCCCCCAAATTCAGGAGCCCCCCCAGGCAGTGGGGTGGCAGGGAGGGGGCCCTGCGGGAGTTGCTCTTGGCCTCTCTTACAGACAGCTCCAAGATGGGCAGCAAAGCCGGGGATGAGCCGTACACCTCAGCCGCCTGTGAGGAGCCGGGGGCCAGGAGCAGAAGCCGCAGCCTGAAGCCCCCCACCAGGCCCAAGGCATCCCAAAGTGTACGGGCCTCCCCCACCACCCACTTTCACCGCTCCCTTTGCAGCTGCCTGAGGCTGCGGCGAGGGGTTGTCCCTTCCTGGCAGCATGGCCAAGCCTGGGGGCGTCCCCCCACACCAGGCTGTCTCAGCAGCTCCCCAAAACCTCTCCTGTCCTGCCTGCAGGGTGGCGAGCCCCGACTGCACCCCCAGGGCCGGTTACCAGCACCTGCCATGCACAGCCAGGACCTCGCGCCCCACCAGGTGAGCCCCAGCACGTCAGTACCCCGAGAGTCACCTGGCGAGCTTGGGGCCGTCAGGGTGCCCCGGCATGTTCCTTTGGCCTGGCTGAGCACAGGCAACCTGGAGCTCAGCTGGTGGGGGCCACTGGGCTACAAGCCCCCAGAACAGGCGGTCCCCGTGCTGAAAAGGGTTGGTGTGTCTGGTGCAGGGTGCACGATGTGGGGGTAGAGGGCAAGGGGGAGGTGGGCGAAGGGGTCCTCTGTCAGCATGAGCCCTGCCACAGCCGCAGGTGCAGGTTGTCCGCCGGTGCCACTGGGGGTGGTGGTGGCGGTGACCCCCTGCCCACTCCCCCGGGGCAGGAGAACGAGGACGAGTGCGCAGCGTGCGGTGACGGTGGCGAGCTCATCTGCTGCGACGGCTGCCCCAGGGCCTTCCACCTTGCATGCCTGGTGCCCCCACTGCCCTGCGTCCCCAGGTGAGCCCCAGGGTGCCATGGGGACACCAGTGTCCCCTAGCTGTCCCTCAGCAACCTGCTCTGGCTGTGCAGTGGGACATGGCAGTGTGGCTCCTGTGTGGCAAGCACGGCCGAGCCGGAACGGCTGCAGGAGGTGGACGCTGCTGCAGAGCAACCCCCTGAGATCCCAGGGGACGAGGCATGCAGCACCCGGCGGGGTGGAGGTGACGGGAGCATCTGCGGCCGCTGCTTCACCCGGATCCCCACATCCCGACACTGCCCCACACCCAGCGGGGACTCTGGGTGAGCCCCCCACCATCCTCCACACACTGGCCTTCAATCTTGCCCCAGAGGGGGCTGCCCTGATGGTCTCTATCACCCCCATCAGTTGTAGGGGGCTGCTGCTCTGCACATCCTGTGTGGGCACCCTGGACGCAGGCAGCCTGGAGAGCACCGCAGCGGCTGGCGGCCACCCACTACAGGCAGCGAAGGTCGGTACAACCAGCGCCTGGCCCCGGCGGAGGGAAACCGACTGGGTGAGGTGGCAGTGCTGGGTACGAAGGGCATGATGAGGCTGAGGAGCCATAGCTCAGGCTGGGTGAGGGACAGGCCGACTGTAGCTGGAGGTGAGGTAGTGAAGCTGTGCCAGACGGGACAAGAGCTCAGGCTGCCCTAGGTGAGGGCTTGAACCCGATCACCAGCCCTGACCTAGAGGGTGTGGGCAGAGGTCAGGCAGGGAAGCTGGAAAGATGTCTCCTCCCACAGGCAGAGGATGTCCCCTCCAGCAGTGACCCCATAATGAGCAGGGACGAGCTCGACGCACTCCTGGGCGAGGTACAGCATTCAGGGGAAACCAACAGGCAGAGAACATCCACAGGGGACAACATCTCTGATGTGACCCACAGGGTGACGTGGGGCTGTGAGCGAGTCAGGGAGAGCCGGGACAGCCCGGGGGGGCAGGGAGCGGGATGGAAAGGGACAGTGACCCCCCCGGGGCTGTCCCACAGGGCACCTGGGACGGGATCCTGCAGTGGGCCTTCCAGAGCATGGCGCGGCCCCTTGCAGACACCCACGGACTCTTCAACTAGAGGGTGCTGCCGCGGCGGTACCCCCACAATGCAGCTGAAAGAGGAACACGCTATGGCGGGCCTGAGCCACGGGACATACATAGGCCTTGCGACACCCCAAAAAAAGGTGACATAATAAAACACAGCAACAGCCGGCAGACAACGAAACAAGACAGACACCTGCACCAAGCGAGTTAATTAAAAAGAAACTTGAAAATGTGCACGAACACAATATATGCGCACAAAAAGTAAAAAAGGAAATAAATGGAAAATTATTTAACAGTAAAATATAAAATTTTACCCATACGAAAAAAAACCAGTTTACAAAAGCCACAAAATTGACACACAGAAACATAAACAAAATAACTACCCTAACCCATCATTCTGCAAAACACCAACAACAAAATGCGGGGCTAGCAAAAGCCTACAGCACCCGGTATTCCCAAGC